GCAAAAACGAGTGTCCTCTTTGTGGAAAAAACACCTGAACTTTTTTTAATTTTTTAATTTCAACTAGAGCCATAATCATTCTGAGTAATGCATGGTTTTTGTTTTGCCCAGCACAATTGTCACAAAACAAATGCAATTCCTCAACATTATCATCAACAAAATTATTAATATAGTGAACCAAAAAAGAGCATACATCATTTGGCGTTTTTCTTGCTGTTGCCTCATGATAAACATAACAAAATAAATTATTCGTATTTAAATTATGAATATCAAAAGTATTGACAGATAATTGACGATAATAATATACTTCCTGCACCGGTATTTTAGGTAAGTCAACTACAGCCATAAAATCAAAGCAAAGACCTAACACTTTTTTATTCTGTTGAGAAATCTCTATTGTTTTTTTAATATTATTATAAAATTTTTTGCTTCTACGTTTATGAACTAGTAATTCCGCAGCAGCAACTCTTTTTGCAACATCATTTAAATCTTTACTCATTATTTTTGTATTTAATTCTTCGCATTTTGAACAAGCATCTTTGACTGGAGCACCAAAGCTTAATGAAAAATTATTCTTAAAATACTCCCAATAATATTGATATTTTATTTTCCCTTCTAATTCTGGATACTTTTCTAAAAACATTGTGTGCATAGTTTAACATTTAATTTAGGGTTCAAATAATTTTTCAATCGTGTTGTGTAATGAGTATCTTTAGTTGGAAAACTCAGTATATGTTCATGTATTTTTTGACAATACTCATATGGCATAGTATTAGCACTAATATTTTTGCCTCTCATATCAACTGGGGTAATATTATTTTCTAACAAATCGACCAGCCGTCTAATTTTTTTAATAGAAATATTATAAACGTTAATGAAAGCTTTCTTACATACTTGAATACGCTGTCCATCTACTATTAAAAAATACTGAACACTTTTGGATTTCGGTTTTTCTTTTCCTTCTTCTGTTTCTATTCGTTTTCGTTTTCTTGTAATTTCTTTTATTTCTATTGTTCGTTGAAGATGAAGGTCTTGTTCATTTTTAGAATGCATTTCATAAAACATTTTCATTGTATTTTCAAGTTTTTCTTGTTGAATGTCTTTGAGACATTTTTTTGAACAACTTTAAATCGAAAATATTATTGTAAAAATATAAAAGCTACTACTTATTAATAACGAATAAAACAAACTAAATATTATATAATTACCATTCTTTAAGTATTAATGAAGGATCATTCTTTGTAGCAACTATTTTTCCAATCCAGTTTGAATGTTTTTTCCCTTCGATTTTTGCTTGCTTAATAATATTTCTTTTATATTTATCACTGTTAGAAACACCTTTTTTTCTTTTGAGAGGACTAATACATTCGTCGTCTGAACTCATATTTTAAAGTTATACACGTTATGATCGTTTGTACACGACTACGACGTTTCAACCAGTACAATATTTATTTTATTCACTGATAATCATTTTATTTTATAATTAGGTAAAGCAACGTTTTCCCATTATAATCTTTATTTACTGATAAACAATTATAAAAAATTAAATTTATAAATAGAACAATATTTCATGTCATACAATAAAGTAATTTCACGAAGTTTAGGCCTGATAATATTACTAAAGTATAATTTTGATGCAAAAAGGTTACATGTCCAGGACATGTGCCTTTTCTGCAATTAACGAAATTTTAAATTATTTTTAACGGGGATCTATTTAATAGGATATGTGCCTTGTCTGCACAAAACCATGTATTTATCAATATTAAATTGGATTATGCAATAAAGTGATTTTTGTAAAATATTGGACATGTGCTCTTTCTGCATTTAGCGATTCATATATACAGTAGAAACCGTTTATAATGACACCGGTTGTAGTGACATATTGGGTGTAATGACTTTATATTAAAGGTCCCTGCAAAACTCCTATATTGTATGTACTAATGTGTATCGCTTATTATGACATCTATATAATGACTATACAGATGTTGTGATGGTTCCTTTTGGTTATATTGAAAAAATATTTTATCTATAATGACTTTACTTCATCGAAGGTACTATTACAATATTGATAATACCGTTATTATTTAATCGTTATTTAGTCGTCAGTTTTATTTTATTTTATTTTACCGTCAGTGTACTGGTAATCGTCATGCGGTTAAATGTGTTTTGTGTTCGTGTATTAAATTGTATTGTGAAATTGTAAAATGAGCAAACAAAAACAATTCACCATCGAAGAAAAAGCAAATGTTATTTTTCGTTTAAAAAAAGGTGAAAAAAATTCCAACATGGCTAATGAGTTAGGCATAGGTCACTCTACAATTTCTATCATATGGAAAGCTCGAGACAAAATCGAACAAGAGTTTCAAAATGAAAAATTATCAGTTAAGAAATTTAGAAATTGTACACATACAGATTTAGATAATGTTTTATTACGATGGTTTAAAAATCAAAGAAATTTATGCATTCCAATTAATGGATCAATTTTTCAACAGAAAACCAATGAATTAGCTGAAGGCCTCGGTAAGCATAATTTTAATTGTTGGACTGGTTGGATTCAAAGATTTAGAGCGAGGCATAATATTGTGTTTTCTACAATAAACGGAAAATCAAAGTCTGTCAATACTAAAATAACAAAAAATTGGCTCGAAAAAGTATGGCCTAAATTACGAGAAGGATACACAGATGACCAAATTTATAATGCAGATAAGACTAGAATTTTTTACAGAATGCTTCCTAACAGAACATTAAAATTTAAAGGAGAAAAATGTTCAACTGGTAAAATGTCCAAAGAACGTCTGGCTGTCTTAGTTTCAGCAAGTATAACTAGTAAAAAAATGAAACTTATCATAATTGGAAAATCCCGTAATCCACAATGATTCAACACATCAAAAGAGACTGTTTACCGATAACATATAAATCGTACTCCAAAGCTTGGATGACTGCAGAATTATGGTCTAAAATTTTATTAAATTGGGATTTAGAGTTAGGAAGAAAAAAAGAAAAAATTTTACTCTTACTTGACAACTGTCCAGCACATTGCACTGTAGCATTACGTAATATTAAACTTGCATTTTTACCCAGTAATTGTACGTATGTTCTTCAACCAATGGATCAAAGCGTAATAAAATGTATGAAAACTTATTTTCGAAAAAGTTTGGTGCTAAATATGATCAATAATATTGAAAACAAAATTGTAACGAATTAGATGCTATATTAATGATTTTTAAGGCTTGAAAAAAAGTATCAGATATTACAATTCGAAATTGTTTTTGTCACGCTGGTTTCAATAATACAATACCACAACAAACTGTCTAAGGAGAACAAAAAGAACACATAAGTTTCCCAAATATAAATGAATATGTTAACTTTGATAATGATGTGCTAACTTCAGAACCATTAAGTGATCAAGAACTTATTTCTTCATTGATTAACCAACCCGAAGAACCTGAGGAAGACGACAATACAGATGAAGATGATGAAGATGAAGAAGCTGATTTATCTATCAATGCAGTGTTCATTGCAGCTAAGATGTTAGCAAATTATATGGCTCTGAATAACGTAAGTCCAAAGATAAATTTTGAAGAACTAGAAAAAAAATAGAGCGTGATTTTTATACTAACAAAGTTAAAATCTAAAATAACAGATTTCTTTAAATAATAATTGAACTAATTAATTTAAATATGTATGTACATAATTAAATGTTTTTATCTTTACTTTTTTCTATATTATACATTGCATAAATAAATAATAATAATAATAATAATAATATGTATTGAAGTAACAATTTTTTTTCGTCATTTTGGTTATAATGACAACCGGTTGTTATGACCTATTTTCTTTGGTCCCTTGAACGTCATTATAAACAGTTTATACTGTATATATATTCTTTAAGTATCACATGTTCTATTATAGTTTTTTTTTCTTTTTATTGTTAATAACCCGTCGTACGGCGTACACATTTGGATGTCATATTTACGCGCACGGGGTAAATTTTTACCTCAAGGTTATTATTCATTATAGTATGTTATAATTTGAACTTCATTGATCTATTTTTCTTGTTTGCTATTAATATTTATTTTAAGAATCGAATAACTCAATCGGATTTAATTTTAGTCTATTTTTAAAAAAATATAATAGTATTTTCCTGTAATGAATATGGCCTCGACTCCAATATATTACGAGTATATTCGCTTTTGATAACTTCGTATTATGACTAAATATTATCGAAATTTGCTAAGTAATAAGTTAAAAATAGGTACTTGTGAGATATACAAAGATTCTACTGCATACAGAGTGATTAAAAAATATTAAAAAACAAAAACATAGGGTAAATAATTTCCAGATATCACTGTATACGACTTTAATACGTTCTAGATAAAACAAAATGTACAAAAATTACATGGAACAACAAACAGTATATTTATAGTTGTATTATTTAAAGCTACTGATGAGGACAAACACCTAAACACATTATTTTATTACCTATACACAATATAAATAACTCTGAGGTAATTATTTACCTCGTGCGCCGTACGACGGGTTAATGTCCATTGTTCCTAATATTGAACACGATACTCACTTTTCTGACTATACTTTGAATAATTAAGTATTAGAAGATGCATTTTTCCATTTTTCTATGTGAACTAAGAAAAAATACTGTACAAATGACCAACTTTTATCTTAATTTAAATTGAAACGAAAAAAATTCAAACGAAATTCCGATGTTAACTGTTTAGCACAGAATAGTCACATTCACATGGCAGTATTATATTTTCTTACTATGCAGTGGTGGGGGAAGCATTTAAAAACTTCACTCGTTTTCGGTATTTCAGTGCGCGCTCTAGTATTTTTTATCGATCTCGATAAACGTACAATTAATTTCAAAACGTACTATTACTCACACTGCTCCACGTAAAAATACATCAGTCGGAGTAAAATTCAACGATGATAGGTCGCCATATTTCGGGGAAGTACTGGAACAACCCCGTTGGCATCGGTTGAAACAGAAAAAAAAAGGTTACCATATTTGATTTCACTATCAAAATCACTATTTGATTAAAACTTTTGTCGGTGAATCCGTTTTGTATTTTTGCGATTAAAATATTGGATTTTCAGTTTTTTTCTTCATCAATAATCGTAGTCAGAACTATGTTGCCCTCATCGAGTCAATGGACGAGGTATCCTACAGCTGATATTATAGTGTACGTATTATAATTTAAAACTGAAATTATATCAACATTTCTACACTAAAGTATAAAGACATAGTTGAAATTAATATCTCAAATCAAGACTAAAATATTTTTTTAACGATGGATTTTCAAAAATATAATATATTATAGTTATTTTTGCTTTCTATTGTGTTCAGTAGAGGTAAATTATTTGTACATATTTTTTTATTCCATAATTATCTTTATTCGATAGAGTATCATAGAAGTTGGGTGAAGAGACAGTGTAAGGTATTAGTATTAAAACACAATCGTTAAAACCACTTGAAATCAATGTAATTATGTGTTTATTGTGTACTATATTAATAATTTTTTGGGCGAGTGGTTTGGTCGGAAGTAGGTTAGGTTAAGACAGGTATTTATACATAATAAGAATTTGGCAATAGCAACGTAAAGGCTATGGTAAATAAAAAGGAAAACAGTTATACCAGAAAATTATATTTGTTAGTAAGTACTTGATCAGGAATTATGATCGAGCAAAACGGGAAAATATATTCAGCCAAATAGTTTTTCAAAAATGGTTCGAACTAGGGCCGCATTTAGAGAAGGGAACTGGCTACAACTGTCCCGGGTACCAGTTTTTTGGGGTCGGAAATTTGCACACTTGTGAATTATTGAACTTTTAAAATTATTTTGAAATTATTATTTTTTTTGTTTTTAATAACAGTATCATAAATTAATGTTAATGTATTATGCTGTTTGGAATTTAAACAACTAATGTATTTATAGCAATATAGCTATCAACAGTCCAGGATATTATTAATATACCCAGTTGCGTACATTCAATCTTACTCTGGGGAGGGGGGGTTAACAAAAATAATCGTTATCTTTTTTTTCGTTGCACAGATAGATAAGATAAATAACTGCTATAAATATATATTATTTTATACAACTTTTTTACCAATTTACAGTTAATAAATTACAGTTTACTTTTACATTACAGTACATTAATAGCTATTGGAATATAAAAACAGCATAGTTAACAAAATTTTTCAAACACCTATCAATATAATTATTTAATTATCATAGTATTTGATAGTTGTATATTTTAAGTTCAAAGCGTAATAATGAAACTACGAATATATTACACGTCATCAATAATAAAACAATTTTCTTTTCTTCTTTTTTTTTTTTTTGGCCTTAGGGGGGTTTCAACTCGGACCCCCTCTTCGTATGTACGCCACCGAATATACCTAATATTAGTTCCCAAATTTGTTGTGATAATGTCAATAAATATAAGTTATTTATAATAAAACGGCGTATTATGTCATCGCGTGCGGTGTGCGATGGCGTTTAAATACAAAAATAGCAATGATTTTAGAATATCTAAAAGGTTCATAAGGATCTATCTCCTATATTTTCCGTGGGTAGACCTCTTAGAGAGGCGCTAATTTTTTATTGCGCTGGGGCGCAAAATGCCTAAATACGGCACTGAATAAAGGATGAGTAAATTGAGTTATATCTAACAGTATTTTACACAAAATCCAAATGTCTATAACTTGTACATCCAGTACTGGTGTACTCCTGTTCACCACGGGATCATCCACCTCAATTAGACACTGCATCCGCAATATGTAGGGATCGGTACCGCTGAATTTCTCCGATATGGGATTATCGTAACTCGTAAATTTTTGCACACGTTCGTCAATTTTCAAATTAATATTTTTTATTTTTAATCGATAACATATATGAATATTAAAAAAAGTAAAATAATGTACCAGCCAAACGTAGTTTAGAAAAAAATTATTACTATTATTATTTTCATGAGTTACCGGTAGACGATAGACAATTATAACAACATTGCAACTGTTCGACCGTTAACCATTGTAAGACGTGCTGTTGAATTTAAACGTTTCGCCTTGCAACCGTATCATGTTTACATTAGCTAAACTTTCATACATCGTGTGCGACTAAGATGAGAAATTCTTTTACAACAATCTGAAAACGATAGCAATCGAAGTGGAATAGTGTTTCACGGATGCACTGAGCTACATCAAGAACCAAACTGACGAGATGAGCAACGAGGCGTCAAAACTTTGCCCGATGGTTATTAAAATAAGAGAGAAAAATCAAAAACAATACGTGACGATGACGGAGGAAATGTTGGTTTGAAATTGTATTTGGCTCCACTTAAAATTGTCAATACGGATATTAAGACGCCTTAATTCATCATTATGTTTGTTAATTATTTCTTCATTTTTTTAAATTGTTTTTAAATTCGTGTTCTTGCTAATGTTCTATTAGGATATGTTGACGCCTTAATTCCTCATGTATGAACAACATTGATTGTAATTTTTTCATACCATTTTTTAAATTTTCTAACTGTCGCATACATTATTTTTCATAGGTTTTTTTTTTCTGGTTTCTCATTTATTAAAAACTATTAAACCAATACCAACCAAAGGCAAATATGACATTAAACAGTAGATTTGACTTCACTTCGATGGCCCTTTCCTCGCTTAACGACTCGACATTTCCAGCAATACTAATGTTCGTGAAATACCTGTTATAAAATTGAACCGGTGGATTAATGACAATTTTTTTTTGCGCTGAGGCGCAAAATGTCTAAATGCGTCACTGGTTCGAACAATTACTATAAACACATTTTTATATATTTTACGAATATATTTCTACTGTATGAAACGCCAACA